GTGCCAGGAATAGAGTCCCCGCCACACCGACAGGCGCCTGCCATGCGGTGTACGCGCCTTCCTTTTTCTTCTGGGCATCCCTCCAGTACGGTCACCCGACTGCAGTAAAAAAGTCCATGTGCCAGATTGGGCTGTCCTCCTGCGGGAGGGATCGTGCAATCATGGCCTCGTCGTCAGCGGCCTCATTGCGTGGGATACCGCAGTGCGATGGAGAGAACATGAAATCCACAGGGTGACCTCGCTGTATCAAGGAGAGCAGCATAATCCAAATCTCTTCAGTAACGTAGTCTCGCATGGCCAGTGGAACGACGCGGAGTGCCTCAGTTCTCGACGGGGAGTCCGTTGCCACCAGGATTCGTGTGGACGATTGGGATGTTTCCAGACAAAAGGTATGAGATGTCTAATGCCATCTTCAGTGGCAAGGCACTCTGCTCTATATGAGGATGCGAGCCTGCCAGCTGCTGCACGATGGACCTCCACAGGGAGATCATTTGTCGTGGTGGAGCCGTACAATGGTGCAGCGGATCCAGGTGCGAGCTCAGCGAGAGATGAAGAAACGTCCGTCCATAATTCAAAATCATAATCTCCCAGAGAGGAGTAAATAGAGTCAATAGCCGTGCGCTTGACGTCGTCAGAGGCGTCTTGGGCAAAGCGTGGCTGATTAAATTCCACTTTATTGCAGCTCACAGTGTCCCAGGGGAAAATTCAATGTTGAATAGGAGGAGCGCGATTGTGGCTGTGGGGTATCCCAATAATGTTACATACGCGGCGTAATTCATTAATAACAGCATCCTCGGAAGCGGGATTGATGTCGCCGCTTTTCACGCATGGACGGCGGCGTGGCCTCCAATCATATTGCGCCACACACTTCCTCAATATATCGGAAAAGTGTGAGGCGTTCGTGTTGTGTGAGTGCAAGAAGCCAGAGTATCCTCCGCAGCGGTGCTGGATTGGCGGTCAGGTGGACAGAATTATTGTCCTTCGCTGGTGCGCGTGGGCCGAGCGATGCAGTGCAGCTGTCGCGGTGCCGCACTTCCAGGCTGTGGAGGTGAACGGGGGCCGGACACGGTGCGATTGCCTCGTCGCTGTGGTGCGACGCACTGTGGACGCACCCAACCAGAAAGTATCGCGTGGTGTGCTGGGACGCACCAGCCTCTGCACCCAGCCGCAGCTGATGGCGGTGTGGCACAGTCTGCTCTGCAGCAACGGTGACGTGCACACCAAAATTGAGGTGTCGATCAATCGCATTGCCGAGCGGACTCACCGGGTGGGACTTGACGCGTTTGTTCCCATCGCCCAGACGATGGTCGGCCGTGTCCTCGTCAGACTGTCGGTGTGAGGCGATGCAGAACAGAGCGGCCCGCTCCTATCGGCGTTGATTTTTAGGCTGTGCTCGGCAGCCCATGTCGTTGTAAATGACAGGGCAGGGTGCTTTGCCGCAGCACAGGCACGGATGTCCACATACAAGGCAACAAGCGTGCGGCCGTCAGCGTGAATGAACGTCGACGCAAAGTGAACGCTGTACAGGCAGCGCAGCAGACCATCCACGTGGTGGAGTAGGAGCTGCGGTCCAAGGAAGCTGCATTGGGCTGCCACGGCTGAGGCGAGCCGCTGTCAGGGACATAGTTGGTGAGCACCCACACCAACGCCGCCGCCTCGCAGGTGATTGCGCTACCAGCGTTGGGAGCGACGGCCCAGGCGCGGTAGCCCGCCGAGCACAGCCAGCACTCGCCCATCGTCCGCGGTGTCTAATGCAGTCGAGATGCCGATCCGGACGGCGAGAGAGCGGTGTCGGCGGCGGTGGACCAGTCCTTCGCTCACCCCTAGCAGGGCAAAGAGCAGCGGGATGGGCCGGCCACTCTCTCCGTGCGGCATGTGTCCTTCCCGTGTTCGCGGATGCGAGTATTGTTCCCCGTTTCCCAGGAATCTCGCAGGCTGCCGTCAGCGAGTGAGGTGTTGATTATCGTTCTGTGCGGGCAGCGGTGCAAGATGGCGCAGAAACTCATTCAATACGCCGACGGGTCCACGCCACGCAAACAGTCGCGGATGGCCAAGTCAGGTGCACACGGCGTGAAGGGCCAATTTATATCTCAGCCACCAGATGGCACGCAAGCACAAGGTGTGCGGACAACAGTGGGGATCGCAGCAAGTGCGACGCGGACAGCGTGACGGACGAGCGGGTGCGCCTGCTGCAGAGGCAGAGCGCAGACGCGGTCCCGAGAGCACCGCAGCACAGCCGATCCCAGAGAGCAGGAACGTGGTGCCGCCATGCCTCGGAGCATCACAGGCTTGGGATCAAGAGGGTACCAGGCTGTTTCGCACGGACCTCTAGCAGCATGGAGAAGCCATAGCGGAGGGCATGATTGCGGTCCTCCCGTTTGCGGAGCAGTTCAGCACGGGGCAGGCTGCCTCCCGGTAAGAAAGTTCGCTCGTTGCAGGCTGCCGCCGCAACACACTCGGCCTGCTCCATTCCGTCCGTTGTGATTCCTCTGGTCTGTCACGACTGCCGCGCGGTATGGTATATTTGCGCATCTCCAACCATGTGGTCACAGTGGCCAGAGGTGTTACACACGCCGAGGTGGAAGCATCACAGTCGGCATCACGCAGGAAAAAGGCGAAATGTTTCCGTTGTGGCAGCATGCCTGCCTGTCGCGGGATGCCGTCCTCCGTTCCTGCAGTGTGGGATGGCAGATGGTGGTCCGAGTCCATGTAAACGGGTGGACGTACAGTGAGAAACGCAGTACGCGTTGCGCATTCAAATTGGGAAACGAGACGCTGCGGCCGCTGATCCGAGTTGCCTGTGCCGGGACGTCGGACAGCTCAATCTCCATGCCGCTTGAGGTGGTGGCGAGGTCCTCTCCTGCCGTCGTGGATAGTGAGCGACCGTCCCGGAGCTCATGATGTGAATTCAGGTCGTCCGCAATAGGTGCTGCAGGACCAAGGCGACGAATGTCGCTCGCAGAGTGTGAAACGTGGGCAATTACTGTAGGAAGGCTGCAGAGGTTCACCACGCACATGCTGGGGCTGGCCGGTGGGCACACGCGGAGGGCGATGGTCTCCAGGCAGTTGGTGCCAGCAGCGACAGGCGCTCGCACGGAAAGGTGTGGTGCACCACGAAGGCCACGCCACCGGCACGCCCACTGCAGGCCTGGTGGAAGTCAATGCAGCCAATGAGCCTCGTCACTGGGCACTCTGGTACCTGCTCTCATGCAGAAGAACGATGTCGGGCCGGTGCTGCGCCAGTCGAGCAGCAAGGGCAATCCTGAGGGGAGAACGGCCTAAAGTTCTGAGGTGCGGCTATTGAGGACACCACCGCAGCGGGTGATGCCGATGGAGTGACCGCAACGAAACGACTGTGCGGTTGTCAGTCGGGCTGCAGGCAAACCGCCTCGCCGCTTCACAACCGACAGAACGTGGGACCTTCTCGAGGGGTGACGCCGTCGTGGTCCCCATCACGCCCGCAGCAATGCCCTGCCGCAATCACTCCCACAGAGAGACAAGGAAGAGTGTGTGAATGTGTGCCAAGAGTACAGCGACCGTCACCTCCAGAGAAGGCCATCGTGGCACCGTCCGTCACGCGTCAGCACACACCAAGCAACGCACGTACCCGGCAAAAACAACTAGGAGAGTGGAGAATGACCCCAAGAGCAGGCAACACCTCCACACATGGCGGACATCGTGCAGCCGCGTCAGCCGGCCACCAGCACTATGCAAAAAACGTACCACACGCATCCATCCAATGGCACCGTGATTCCCATCGCCAACGGTAGACACGCAGCGACCATACTATGTCAGCACGGGATGCAGGCCAACGTCCCACCGTTGCCAAGACATTCCTGCAGAGCACTGTGCAACTAAGTATGTGTGTGTGTGCTGGAGGAGCAGAAGAGAAGAGGAGCACAGGGAGGCACATCAACACAGCAACAGGTACAACTGGAGAGCAGCGAGAAATGCGGCACGGCCCCGACATCAACAATCACACACGGTGGCAACAAAAACAAGAGCAAAAAAACAAAACAATCCTTAAAGAAAAACACGGCGGCAGGGTGTGGCTGTGTGTGTGGCGCTGCGGGTGTCTGCCCGCCCTGGCCGCAAAGAAACAAAACAAGAGGGAAGAAATGTGTGCTCCGCCCCACAGGCCCTCGTCGCACGCCCACACGTCACGGCTCCCTCAGCGCGCCGTTCGTCGCGGCCCCTCCTCATGCGTGCAGCAGGCGAGGCGCACAGGGTCGTCGTCATGAGCGTGTCGGTGGGTGTGCGAGTGGAGCAGTTGGGCGGAAACACACGGCACCCCTCACAGGAAGAGTGCAGCAACAAACAATTAAAGAGGGAAGAGTGGAAAAGAAAAAAACGTCCATAGTGACTGCCCCAAAAGCAAGAAAAGGAAAAAAAGAGATGAGGAATATAAGATTTTAAAAAAGATAAAGCATAACTAAAAAACAACCAGACAAACAAACAAAAACAATAATGATATTTTACATCAAACATAAAGAAAAGCTTTTTGAGGTAATAAATTCATTGCCAGGTGCGTGTATCGGTGCAGGGGAGGTCGCAGGTGTACCACGCGGCAGCCAGTCACTCCTCACGGAGCCGCAAACCCCCACAGTCCCAACAGAAGAAGAAGCAGCGGCAGCAGTCTGCTCCCACGCATGGTGCCGCCATCACCTGTTGTTTCTCCAATGGCAGGGATGTTCGAAGCCGTCGCCCTCTCCACATTTCCCTGCGATGTATTCGCCGGCACTTGCTGTGTAGTGGCAGATTCACCCACCGTTGCATTTTGCCCTGCTTTACTTTCTTCCTGAGGCTGCTGCGATGCCGCTTGAACCACTGGAGCTTCAGCAGTTTTGCCTGCAATGGACGCTTCTCCATGAGGTCCCGCTGCGGTGAACGCTTCTGCATGAGGTTCTTCGGTAGAAGACGCTGCTGCACGTGGTTCCTCTTCATAAGGTTCTTCTGCGGGGAGCAACGCCGGAGCAACCACAGAATCTTTTACTTCCTCCTCTTGCTTGTTTCCTTTATAATCCTCCAACGCACCCGGAACGACAAGACTGCTGCCGTTGGCGGCAATGGTGCACACCTCGCCGTACTTCGGGCACTTGATCTTTCCGTCTTGCTTAAAACCATCCAACGTCACTTGGATTTCTCCGCCATCGGGGCAATCATGCCACACGTCAGTGCTGCCGAGGTGCTTCACCTTCACTGTGCCCTCCTCACACGACACCTGCGCGCACACTCCATTGACGCTTTTATGGTCATCACCGTCCTTCGTCTCCAGTAATTCCGCGTCCAGGCACCACGAGCCACTGCCAGTCAGCGACCCAGGGAGATGTTTCACATTTTCGTCCGAGCACGTATTGTACGTTGTCCCAGAAAAGTTGTGAAAATAAGAAGATACGACAGGGCAAACGTCCTTATCCGCAGGACTCCCCTTGTCCTCAACGATGTTTGCGGTGCACGTCCCGACGTAACGGCGGTCGGAGGTACAGCGAAGCGTCTTTTTGTCGGAGTCATCGCAGAACATGTGAGGATAGTTGGTGGAAAAATCCTTGGCTTCGCTGCACTTCTTCTCCAGAAATTCGCAGCCACTGCGGTGGCCCCAGCTCATCGGCTCCGCCATGCTCCAATTCACGCGGTAGTACCTCATATCCGCAAACACCGCCATCGTCAGTGCCGTGTAGTAGCCGGCACCAACTGTGGGAGCCATCAGCTCGTCCCGCGCGTGGCGTCCCTTCCAGTGAGGGATCGCTTTTTCCCGAGTGCCACCTTCGTCCTCCAGCTCCATGCCATCGAGAGACTCACAACCAAAGTGCGCTTGTGCCTTCACCTGAACGTGCTTCCCCGCCACCATCTTGCGGTGCTTCCCACGCACACTTTTCTCAAAAGTTTCGATGCTCTTTCCTTCAATACTCTCTTTACTGAACCCAAGAGCATGTGCAATTTCGTGTGCGGCAACGCGAACGCTCCACGCTGTGTCAGTCATGTACCTTGGATCAAAGTTGATGGCGCCAATGGAGGGGCGAAAATCTTCCCATGTGTTACACGTGGCCGCCCAAACAGCCATGCTTTCAGTACTTGACGGCCTAGCAGCAGCGTAAATGATAAAATCAAAATTAGGCACACCGCCATTTTTTTTGTGTTCAATTGGAACCGTAAACCTTTCGCACAGACCTCCTATAGTCCTCGGAACCGTTACCTTCTCAGAAGCGGGTCTCACAAGTAGCCGCTCCGCGTGCAGTTTGACAGCGCCGGGGAGAATCTTTTCAGTGTACAATTGTTTCTTTGCTTCCGTCAAGACATTTTCTTTTTTACAAGTCATCTTTTCCCCCAAGATGTTTTCGCACTCATCCCCATCATTTTCGCAGTACATCTTTTTCCTGTTCGTGCTCTTCAACTCCTCCGTGAACACCTTGATGCGGATCGGCTCCCAGCCACTGTCGTCATCCTGTGCGGCGACGGTGTATGCCTGCATGGCACCCTGTCCCTTGCGCGGCACCTCACGTAAAACCGCGGTCGACAGCGGGCCGCTCCTCCCCATCGTCTCGTCAAATCCACGGTGGTGCTGCAGAGCGGGTGCAGCGGCAATACACCCAATGGCGCAGTAAATCAGTAGCAACACCAGCAATGGGAGTGGCGGCGTGGCATGGCGTGGCAGGCGCATGGCCTGAGAAAAATGCATTTCTTTTTTTCGTGTGAGTAGCAGCAGTAGCAGTGCAGCGTGGCTGCGGGAGGAGAGAGAAAGGAAAAAAAGAAAAAAAGAAACGATTTATCGCCAGTGGTGCGTCAGGATGCGGCACAAGCAGCGGAGTAACAAGAGACCACAGAGGCGGCCATACACACCGCGTGCGCACCGACTCCATCAATGGGAGAAACCGTCAACCCGTCGTCGGCTGAGCGTCCATCACCGTCGCACACATTCCTTATCGGCCGCAACGCTCCCTGCACGCGGAGTGTTTAGTCTGCTTCCCTCGTGGTGTTGTAGTATTTGTGTGACAGTCCACCAACCTGCCACCACTTGCACAGCGTCCGTCCCACGTGTAGGAGCATCGCACAGCGCTCTCTTTCTCTCCCAGCAGCACATATCATATGGCATCACCGAATGGCAGCCTCATCGTGATGCGCAGCCCTGAATCGGGGATGGAAAGAGTCGTGCAAGCAAATATATTTCTACCGTTTCTCAGAATTCTCAAAAACAAGCGTGACGACGTCGCAATTATCATGACTGTTTCTCCCCGTGCTGCCAATGACCAAGAGGCTACTGTGAACGCACTGCGTGGGAGTCACCATTTTCGCCGTTGCTCTCTTCAGCGGCCCGAGAACACACCGGCCGTTCCAACACGGTGAATATGAGCGTTGCCAAAGACAGCCACAAGCACCAACACACCAACCTCCACAGTGTCCTCAATCACCATCCGCAGCATGTGTGCGTGCGTTCTAAGACTTCACACCACTCCACAGCGTCTGCGTCATGCCTTGTGTGCATCTGTCTGATTGTCTGTTTGGCAGCGCCTATACTTGCAGAGCAGCTGTGCGCCACAAGAGAGTCCAAAGAAAGCAACGGCAGAGAGAGGCAGATAGCACACACGTAAATTACTCATATCATCACACACACACACACAGAGAGAGAGGGGTCGCCCACTCAATGCAATAAAAACAAAAAAAAAACAGTTACGGTGCTCCGCCCATGCAGCCAGGCAGGACGGCAGCGGTGCGTGTCGTGCAAAAGAGAGCACCAGCGGGCCTGCATGGGTGTGCATGCATATATACAATGGGCACATTATGTGTGTGCCTCGTGGGGTGAGGTGAGGGCGAGAGTCCATGCAAGGGGACACACACAGAGAGAAGGAAGAGTGTGTGTGCAGGCGGTGCACGGCTCTCTCTCACACTCACTCTCACGCGGCCACCACCGCAGCAGCCGCACACGCAACAAGAAGAAGCAAAAGAGGGGAGGTGGTGTGGGAGACCGCGGTGCTGTCACTGTCGCCAGCTGACGCCGCATCATTTATTCGAGCGGCGTTGATTGTTTCTGCTATTTGTGGTGCTGCCTCACTGAGTGGTGGAACAACTTTGGTATTGTCAGTTTCAAGGCTGTCGTTTTTTTCCTTTAGAGCTTTGAGCATCATCCTCATCTGCCTTATTCTGGACATGATCACCGCTGCCACTTGTAGAGGTAGATGAGATTTTTGTTTCTGCTGGACTGCCGGTTGCTGTATTCTTCGTCAAATCCTCTGTTTCTGTTTCATGACTGTGCTGCTCTTGTGTAGCATCCCCTGAAGGCGGTTCCGGCGCTTTTGAGTCCATTTTGGGTCCTGACGGCGTGATTTCGTCCTTTACTTTTGCTGAATTCTGTGAGTTTTCTTTTTCTGCTGGTGGGCTTCCTTCAACTGCTGATGGTGTTGGTAGCAGTAGTGGTGATACTCCTCCATTATTTTGACCCTCGCGTGTCTGGGTTTGTGCGTTTTCTTTTTCTTGGGTGTTTTCTGTGTATTTCTCCCCATCCCCTTCCTTTCCTTCTTCTATCACTTCATCACTTTCATGGTTATCCTGACGATCGGCATCTCCTTTTGTCACCGTGTCCTTGGCCAATTGATTAATGTCGGATTTATCCATCAAAGAGGGGTTTTCACCAGGACGAGTGGGAGTGCTGCCCGATAAAGATGTCAATTGATCGTTGTTTTGTTCTTGGGGCCCAGCTGCCGTTTTGTTATTAGACCCCCTGTTACTCTTTTCATTTTGGCCAGAAACATCCAACCGCCCGGTTTCTGCACCTGTCCCTGACTCTCCAGGCCCAGACGGCGGAGGTGGTTTTCCTGCACCAGACGCTGCATTGCCCACAGGACCAGCCAAGAGACTACTATGCAGTGATTTCTCCGTCTTTTCCAATGAGGCATCAACACTTCCATCTTCACCGTCGTCCCCAGCCGCAACCGCATTTATTAATCCCATTCGGGTGGATAACAACCCGCAATCCGCCTCCAGGCGCACCCTGTCATTTCCTCCACCATTACTCGTGTGCCTCAAACCGTTCCCTCCACCCTCACCGCAGTAATCGTCCATCGCGTGTCCAAAAACAGCACCGCACCACAGCACGCAGAGGGCACACACCAGCAGCACACGGCCAGTCATCATCATCGCCATCACTCCTGTCAGTTGCGTGTAGCCTTCAGCTCAAAATAACTCCCCGTCAACAGAGAGCAAAAGGAAAGACAAGTCACACAGCCACGCACCGTCCCATCCAGCAATGAGAGTCACGACGGCTACACCACAGATTACACAGCAGCAGAGCACATAGGACGAGACAGTTTGGATCAGCACGATTGCAGAAAATGCACGCCGCACTGAAAACCACAAGGTTAAAAACCAAGAAAACAAAAATGAAAAAAAAAAATCCAAGACTCCTGTGTACTTGCATATGAGTGTGCCTGGGGTGCGTTCAACGTGACGGATGCGAGAGCAGCAAAATGGAGCACACAGCAGGGCAGCGGAAGCAAATAAAGCGAAACACAATCATTACTTTCCCTTATTATATACATCGGACCACAGAAGACGTAAACGAATCCCTGTGGCTGAGTGCTGGCACGCACAGCCCGCAAACACCTCTTCAGCAAAGGGTGGTGTACGCCAGCGTGGATGCCGCAAGCAGCAGCGAGGCACACACCCACGCAGAGCTGCTGAGGCTGCCGTCGATTTCGCGAAGACGCGACGGTGCGCGGGTGGTCGTCGTCGTTGTAGTTGGCGCCTCTGTAGTCGTAGTTGGTGCCTTTGTTGTGGTGGTTGTTATCGTTGTTGGTGCATATGTTGTAGTCGTCGTCGTGGTCGTCTCGGCAGGATCTTCGGTTTCCTGATTTGCTTTTTCTGCAGATTGTCTCGTGCCGATTTCTCGTCCTGGAGTACCGTCCGTATCATGATTTTGTAACATGTTAGACACGTCAACTGATTCCCGACCTACAGCGGTCGGGGCTGGTCCCGCTCCGGCATTTCTTCCCTGTTCCGCACCGGACCCCTTACTTGGCGACCCTAAGTTATCGATCTCCTTAAGTGGTACCTCTGGTTCAAGGGACGGTGAAATGGCAGCCTTTCCAATATCTTCATCTTCGGGCCTAGCCTTTGATAAAGAATGCAATAAACTGGTGCCGTTTCCCTCAGCCTCAGCCTTACGATCTTCGGCTTCAGTATGCTCAGTAGCCTCTGCCGCGCACACGAACGGGCAACAGCACAGGGCAAGCACCAACAGGGCGCACAGCAGACGGCACGTCATCATCAATGTGAGTGTGGTCGTTCAGTGGTGTGGGGCTGATCTGCACAGTGAAGGACATGGAGAGCAACAGGGGAGACGAGAGGTGCGGCAGACACACACAGAGGGCACACCACATGAGGAGAGGGCAGCGGCCAGGCATGCACCGTGCGCCGCACACCACGCACGACACACACTCCAATCCACGGCAGCAGGCACACACACACACACAGCCCTGCCGCAACACCAACACACAGATGGAGGAGGGAGAAGCAAACAGGAGCGGCACACAAGGCTCCACCGCACGTACACACGGCGAGAGCGGTCCGTCGTGTCGGCACTCCTCACGGAGGGCACGCACACACGCAAGAGGAGGTGCAGCACACACAGCAACACAAAGGCAAAGTAACAATAAAAAAAAGAAAGATCCCCGCACACCACGTGGATTGTTGGTCCACGGGAAGTGCAGCCAATATTTATTACAAGAGCAACATTTCATCCTATTTTTGCTGTATGCTGTTACAATAACGAGTGGGTAGCGCAATGGCCGTCCGTAAAAAGTGGCGAGCATTCCGTCCGAAACGTGCCGTCGTGCGGGCTGGGGCACTCCAAAACACTCGCATTCCCAATTCCCAACGACGGGGGCATTTCTGCAGTGGATGAAGCGAAGTCTCTCGTGGTCCATCTCGAGTACCTGCGGTTGTGCTTCCTGCGTGCCTTGCCTGCTGGCGTGCTTGGCACTTTCTGTGGCGACCTGTGCGCGAGGCGCCTGTTAAGAAGACGCTGGCACCATTGTGACGTCCGCATCCTAGGCCTTCTCAAACTATTATAACGCCAGGCTGAGCACGTCGGGCATGCGCCCTCATATTGTGGACGGACGAGCGCACTCTGCTGCAGGTTGGGCAGGAGGACATCAATCCGCCGCTCGCTGGTCGGCAGGGAGTTGCGGCGCTCACTTCGGGAAGAGGTTCTGGCGGAGGCAGAGGCGGGCCGGTCTCCTCAGTGAGGGAGGGACGGCATCACCGACACAGAGGGTTCCTTTTGATACGAAGGGCACGCGCAGGTATGTCGAGGAGTGGGCGGGAATCGCATCGCGCCTTTGCGCAGAGCCGCCGCTCGGGGCACGATGTCCGGGTTGTGCCAGGAATAGAGTCCCCGCCACACCGACAGGCGCCTGTCATGCGGTGTACGCGCCCTTCTTTTTCTTCTGGGCATCCCTCCAGTACGGTCACCCGACTGCAGTAAAAAAGTCCATGTGCCAGATTGGGCTGTCCTCCTGCGGGAGGGATCGTGCAATCATGGCCTCGTCGTCAGCGGCCTCATTGCGTGGGATACCGCAGTGCGATGGAGAGAACATGAAATCCACAGGGTGACCTCGCTGTATCAAGGAGAGCAGCATAATCCAAATCTCTTCAGTAACGTAGCCTCGCACGGCCAGTGGGACGACGCGGAGTGCCTCAGTTCTCGACGGGGAGTCCGTTGCCGCCAGGATTCGTGTGGGCGATTGGGATGTTTCCAGACAAAAGGTATGAGATGTCTAATGCCATCTTCAGTGGCAAGGCACTCTGCTCTATATGAGCGTGCGAGCCTGCCAGCTGCTGCACGATGGACCTCCACAGGGAGATCATTTGTCGTGGTGGAGCCATACAATGGTGCAGCGGATCCAGATGCGAGCTCAGCGAGAGATGAAGAAACGTCTGTCCATAATTCAAAATCAAAATCTCCCAGAGAGGAGTAAATAGAGTCAAGAGCCGTGCGCTTGACGTCGTCAGAGGCGTCTTGGGCAAAGCGTGGCTGATTAAATTCCACTTTATTGCAGCTCACAGTGTCCCAGAGGAAAATTCGATGTTGAATAGGAGGAGCACGATTGTGGCTGTGGGGTATCCCAATAATATTACATACGCGGCACAATCCATTAATAACAGCATCCTCGGAAGCGGGATTGATGTCGCCGCTTTCCCATGCATGGACGGCGGCGTGGCCTCCAATCAGATTGCGCCACACACTTCCTCAATATATCGGAGAAGTGTGAGGCGTTAGTGTTGTGTGGTTGCGCGGAACCCAATGATCCTCCGCAGCGGTGCTGGATTGGCGGCCAGGTGGACAGAAGTATCCTTCTTTGATGCGCGTGGGCCGAGCGATGCAGTGCAGCTGTCGCGGTGCCGCACCTCCAGGCCGTGGAGGTGAACGGGGGCCGGACACGGTGCGATCGCCTCGCCGCTGTGGTGCAAAACGCTCTGTGGACGCACCCAACCAGAAAGTATCGCGTGGTGTGCTGGGACGGCCCAGCCTCTGCACCCAGCCGCAGCCGACAGTAGCGTAGTGCGGTATACTTTGTTTTTTGTGTGAGGAATTTTGCTGTTTTTTAAATTTTGGTACGGGCCGATGGTGCATTGGCGTTTTCTGATTCAGTAGGGGAAATGCGTTTTGAAGAAGCCGTTGCAGGTATTCAGCGCCGTTGTAAATAACAAATGTGCGACTGCCTCCATGAAAGCGACAACACTGTCTTGAATTACAGCATAAGGCACTGCAGCTTAATCTGGTGTTTTACAGCAATTTTATTGGACGGTGCATTTGTTTTCAATATTTTGCAGCTTTTGTGGGAGAAAGTGGGAGGCTGAGGGTATTAGGACTGAATTCATTTGAGTGGCTGCGTTCCGTTGACTTGCGGCCAGTCGTGGCACTCTTTTGGGGTTTGGCAGCTCGTCCCTTTTGTTTTACTTCCCACCGCAGCACGTGGATAACACTGAACCGAGGTACATTTGTTTGACCGCGTGTGGGCTGCTGCCGTGCGTGATGCATGGACTATGTGATTGTGTGGGGAGGTGCGTTGGAGTGACGAATACCTTTGTTTGGCGTGTCGCGGTGTGTCGGAATGATGTTTGGATGACATGTGAAGGGTGTTGTTTGTGATTTGTGTGTCTTTTCTGGTGGAGCCGACATGTGTGCGGGGATTGCGGCATTGCCGGCTGACAGCTCCACGTCACTTTTCAGCATTCCTGGATGTGCTGAGGAATGACGGCTGGCGACCAGCGTGTTGGTGCTGCTGGTGGGAATAAGTGCATCGGGAATAGGCCACTTTCTCTTTTCCGTGCTGGAGCCGATGAAATGGCACGAGGGCACCGGCTGCAGGCTGCCTGCCAGCACGTGTGGGCAGCGATCCATGCACACACCGACGCTCATCGCAAGAGCTTGCGCGATCACGGTGGCCTTTTGTGGCGTGCTTTTGTGGACGTCAGCCCGTCGGAGAATGTGTGAAGCAAACGGCTGACTGCACACGAGGAAAATAAGTGCGTGCACTGTGCCGTGTTTCTTTGTCGATGGCAGAGCGACAGGAAGCCCGTGCTGGCAACAGATCGTTGCGTTGCGAGGGATGTCGGTGTTGATTTTGGATCGTCGAGGGTGAAATGAATTTGCTGCTGCCCGTGTGTGTGGCCACTCCGGCAGAGGGCGGACACAAAAGGGAGGGATGCAGGCGCTGTGTGTGTGTGTATGCGGGTGCCATGCAACAACGTCACAACAAACATGCTGCGACTCGGTGACCCTCACATCGCTGTGGCCCTCACGAACAGCCGAGGCACGGCCCGCATCGATGCACTCAGTGGACGGAGTGAGGCAGTTTTTGAGGCGCTGCAGGGAACAGGATGTGTTGACGCAGCCACGACGTGCATGGAGTGTCACGATTGCACAGTGAGCTGTGGCTGGTGGAATAATTGCTTCTCGGAGGCAACAGGGGGAGAGAGAGCTGCTCCTGCTGCTGGCGCTGTTGCTGCCTTTTGTGGCCTCCCATGCCGATTATTGTCTGTCCGCTGATTATGGATGGCATGCCTCCACTAGTGACATCGTCTGAAGGCATTTCACAGCACCTGTGAAACACACATCACGTCGCATGCTTTGGCTGTGGATGTGGTGTCGTGAGTGCAGCCGGCAGTATTTTTCCGACTCCTTTTCACTGCTTTGCGACGAATAGATGCGTCGCCGCCCGAGTCATTCACTGCAGCTCCGTGTGTTGTACTGCCAGCACAAGACTCTCCTGTTGTCTGACGCCTGGCTGACAGTCAAGCACCACTGCGTTGGGACATGCAAGGATGTGGACTGCCGCTCACGGTGTTGGGCACCGCTGTTTGGATGCGGCGGCCACACGAGCGGATGCATTGTGGCACAATCAAATGCGTGAAATACGCGGAATCACAGCGGCTGCAGTAATATCAACGGTGTGGCACCACGGAGTATGTGAGGGGGTGATGCATGATGAATCACAGTGGGCGGCATGCGAGGGAAGTGCACCGCGACGGAGCGTCATCCCGCCCTCAGCCTGCAGGGGAATGCACACCCACAAAATATATGGGCGAGGCACCACCAAACACACATGCCCTTCTGTGCAGCAATAAATAGGAGCGAAGGTGCGTTGTGGTGCGTGGGAGTCCACTCACATATTTCCATTTCCACCGCAATAAACGGTGAGGAGTCATGTGCCACAGCAACGAAAGGAAAAACAAACATCTATTGCAACACTTTACCAGCGAAAGGCAGGAACAACACAAACCGAATTCTTGGCTGCACCAACACAAGAAACATTCACAAGAGGAAAGAAAAATTGTGCACCCCGCAGAAATTCTCAGCACACGATCCAGGCATGAAGGCTTACCCTCCGCAAAACAAAACAACGCATACAGACATCTGCCAACATTCAAACAGAAACACAAATAAATAGTTTCCTGCACTCTTCCATTCCTTGCGCTTATATTTGCTTGTGCTGCTGCTGCTGCTGCGGTGGCTGTGCTTGCATGAAGTGGTGTGCGCTGAATATGAACGAAGGCCGAAGACAACTGAAATGTTGCTTTGCGATGAATATTGGCTAGCCTTCCCGTGGACCAACGATCCACGTGGTTGACGGAGATATTTTTTTTTATTGTTACTTTGCCTTTGTGTTGCTGTGTGCGCTGCACCTCCTCTTGTGTGTGTGCGTACCCTCCGTGGGGGGTGCCGACACGACGGACCGCTCTCGCCGTATGTGCATGCGGTGGAGCCTTGTGTGCCGCTTCTGTTTGCTTCTCCCTCTTCCATCTGTGTGTTGGTGTTGCGGCAGGGCTGTGTGTGCGGCGTACGGTGCATGCCTGGCTGCTGCCCTCTCCTCATGTGGTGTGCCCTCTGTGTGTGTCTGCCGCGCCTCTCGTCTCCCCTGTTGCTCTCCATGTCCCTCACTGTGCTGATCAGCCCCACACCACTGAATGACCACACTCACGATGATGATGACGTGCCGTCCGCTGTGCGCCCTGCTGGTGCTTGCCCTGTGTTGCTGCCCGTCCATGTGCGCGACGAAAGGTAGCGGAGAACAAGATGAGGACAGCTCCAGTTTATCACCTTCTCAGCCACCGGAAGTAGGTGGTGCAGGGCCAGCAAATAATTCCACGACGTCAAGTTTAACAGCTCCGGCCGTCACGTTACCGGGAACTCAAAGTCAGGACGGTCAGGAACCCGCTTCTCCAGGAAGTCCAGGTACAGAAGCTCCGGGGCCTATTTCAAAAGCGAAACGAGATGGGACCGATTTGACAGGGTCTTCAGGTGGGTCCGTTAACCCAAATACATCAAGTTCCGTGACCGCTTCTGTATCGGCACAAAGTCAGAAGGAAAATGCGCCAACAACAACCACTACAACAAAGGCACCACCACTACGACTACGGAAGCGCCAACTACAACCACGACGACCACCCGCGCACCGTCACGTCTTCGCGGAATCGACGGCAGCCTCAGTAGCTCTGCGTGGGTGTGTGCCCCGCTGCTGCTCGCCGTATCCGCGCTGGTGTACACTACTCTGAACTAAAGAATTGTGTGCGGGCTGTGCGTGCCAGCACTCAGCCGCGGGGATTTGTGCGCGTCCACTGTGGTCCGATGTACTAAACAGGATAAAATAATGATTGTGTTTTGCTTCACTTGCTTCCGCTGCCCTGCTGTGTGCTCCGGGTTGTTCCCCGCATCCGTCACGTTGAACGCATCCCAGGCACACTCATACGCATGGCACGCACACAACTGTTTGCGTGGACTCAGATTTGAGGATAGGTGCGTGCGCGCTGGAGTCATACTGTGCAACCCTTTGTTTTATGTGTGTTTCTACATTTTTTACTTCATTGCTGTTTGTTTACCTGTGTTTTGTTTCTAATTGTTTTGTGTGTTTTTTCTGTTTACTTGCTGCGGGGCGTTGCGTGTTTTTGCCCTTTCACTGCTTTCAACTGACTCATGGTGTGTGTGCGCTGCCGCTGCTGTGCTGCTTCCATTTGTGACTGTGCGGTGGTGTGCGTGGTGTTTCGTCTCTCTTTTTGCTTTCACCCTGCGTTGACGTGTTGTTAATTTGTGCTGAAGGCTGCACGCAAGTGACAGGAGTGATGGCAATGATGGCTGGCCGTGTGCTGCTGGTGTGTGCCCTCTGCGTGCTGTGGTGCGGTGCCGGCGGTGGCTGTGACGAGGAGGTGGTGGAAGCTGCTGCTGGCGGTTTACTTGGGACTGCTGGTAAAGGTACGGTGGAGACTTCTGGAACTTCAACGCCAGGACCGGACGGCTCAGATCTTCCAAAAGGTTTGCCCAAGGTTAATCAACCAACGGAAACATCTACAGGAAAATCGTTGGAAGTAAATAAAGTTAATGTTGATCAACAGGATGTTGCTCCTGGGGTGGGGGATGAAGAAGATGGAAGCCCTTCAGACCATTTAGAAGAACCATTGAAAGATGATCCAGAAAAAGGAAAAACAAAGCCAGAATTACAAAATAAAGGGCAGGAAGGAAGAGAACCGCCACAATTGCAAGTAACTGTACCACAGCAACCGCAGCCACCACTGCAACAGTCACAACCGCCATCAGCACCTCAGCCACAACCTTCTGCTTCAGAAAAGGGTGAAGTTGTCGGCGAGAACAATAAGGGTGGAGAAGGTCAGCTCTCATTGGGAGTAGAACATAAGGGAAGCGCGGCTCCAGAGGCCCCCAGAAAAGAGGACTTATTAGAGGGTTCAGGTAAAGAATCAGAAAACAATGAACCGGTCCAAACGACAGTGCCAAACAAAGTACCGCCAGAGCACAAAACCCAAAATGGAATGTTAACTCCGGAACAAAAGACGAATGAAAGCCAAGGCACGGATACATCCATGAACCTACCCGAAATAAAAAAGGAAAATAAAGAATACTCTGCCTCCACGAAAAGTACGGCGCCGAGTACATCAACTGGCAGTCAAGAACAAGAAGCTGAGCCATCTACAAGCGAAGAACCTTCCCCTTTTGAGGAGGAACAATCCACAGTGACGAAGAAAACTGAAGATGCTCGAACTCCGGATGCTGCGGCGACAGAAAAACGCCAAAACGGCGCTAATGAAAAGGATGGCGACAGTGACAGCAGCACCGCGGTCTCCGACACCACCTCCCCTCTTTTGCTTCTTCTTCTTGTTGTTGCGTGTGCGGCTGCTGCGGTGGTGGCCGCGTGAGAGTGAGCGAGAGAGAGCCATGCACCGCCCGCACACACACTCGTCCTTCTCTCTGTGTGTGTGTCCCCTTGCATGGACTCTCGCCCTCACCTCACCCCACGAGGCACACAATAATGTGCCCATTGTATATATGCATGCACACCCATGCAGGCCCGTTGGTGCTCTCTTTTGCACGACACGCACCGCTGCCGTCCTGCCTGGCTGCATGGGCGGAGCACCGTAACTGTTTCTGTTTTTTCTCCTCTTATGATTGTTTTAATTGTTTTTAATTTTTCTTTTGCTGTTTGCTTTAAAATATTTCAAATTGTTTTTTTTTTTGTTTTTTCTGGTTGTGTGATTTTTTTCTTTCGTTTTGTTTTTGTTATTACTTTTTATTGTTCCTTTCTCTCATTCCTCTTTTTTTTTTTGCTTTTGGGGCAATCACTATGGACGTTTTTTTCTTTTCTACTCTTCCCTCTTTAATTGTTTGTTGCTGCACTCTTCCTGTGAGGGGTGCCGTGTGTTTCCGCCCAACTGCTCCACTCGCACACCCACCGACACGCTCATGACGACGGCCCTGTGCGCCTCGCCTGCTGCACGCATGAGGAGGGGCCGCGACGAACGGCGCGCTGAGGGAGCCGTGACGTGTGGGCGTGCGACGAGGGCCTGTGGGGCGGAGCACACATTTCTTCCCTCTTGTTTTGTTTCTTTGCGGCCAGGGCGGGCAGACACCCGCAGCGCCACACACACAGCCACACCCTGCCGCCGTGTTTTTCTTTAAGGATTTGTTTTGTTTTGCGTGTTTATTTCATGCGGTGGCGCACCCTTCGGTGTCGGCCTCGTGAGCATTTCTCTCCCCTCCGATGATTTCTTTTTCTTTTTCTTTTGCTGCGCTCACTCTCCCGATGGAGTGACGCGACTGCCGTCATGTCTGCGTGCTTCTCTCAGTCCCCACACACACGAGTGACTGTGCTCTGCGGGCCGCACTCACGCGCCGATGAGAGGGCTGAGGGGAGCAGCAACACGCAGATGACCCCATGAAATATAAACGATGTGCGGACACGCGGAGGGTCGGACGGTTGAAGCACACGCAACCATCTTTTTAATTTTCTTTTGTGGGCAAAATACATACAGACAGTTTGGTGTGGCCACACGGCTGCCAGGCGATCTTTTTCTTATTTTAAATTTGTGTGGAGCAGTAATGGAGGATTTCTTTTCACTTATAATTATTTTGTGTGGTGGGGTTTACATAAGACGAAGGGGACGTTTTTTGTTTTCAATAAATATTGTGTGAATTGCCGCTGCTTGGGCTGCAGTGCAGTCATGAGTTTGAGCGGTTTTCTTGTTGTTGTTTCCGTTATGCGTCCCCGCTGTACATTTTTGTGCGTCCCTCCGCATACTCTGCTCCCTCTTTTCTACTTCTTTGCTTTGTGTTGCTGCAGGCACACACAACCACACACAAGATGCACATTGCGGTGGATTTGAATGCACCTTTTGCAGTGCATGCTGGCAGTTGCGTGTGGCGGCTGTTGTCTTCTTCCGTGGCCATGAGGAGGGAGGAGAGAGGGAGCGCACCCCGAGACTATTTTCCTGCGGGTGTGGTGCACCGCGTGTGACTGCGCTGAGTTGGGCCCCGTGTCCCATCGATGGCGGGATGGCAGGAAATTTTGTACCGCGTCATGGATGGATGAGGGTTCGCTTGCTCCGTGTGCGTTGTGTGGTGGCCGCGGGGTTTTGCCATTTCCCTGGGGCTGCGGGAATGAGCTGGGGGAGATGGTGGTGGATGTCTTCTCCTCCTGCATGGTGGGTGGCTGCTGGCGTTGTGTGCCTCCTTGCGTGGATGCCGTCTCGTGGTGTGTGAACTGTGCGGCTGGGCCTGCTGCCCTCTCCTCATGTTGTCTGCGCTCTCTCGCTGTATCCGCTGTGCTCCGTCCCTCTCCCTCTCGTTCCATTCCTTTTTGTTCGGCTTACCGATCAGCTGACTGACACCAGCGACTCCACTACGGGCGATGATGACTGCGATGGTGACGGTGCGGCGCCGTGTTGGCCCTTGCGCTCTTGTGCTGCTGCTGCTCGTCCGTGTGTGTGCTGCTGGGTGTCCTGGACGTGTTTCTGGTGATGCGGGTGCGGTGGTTGTGCCGGTGGATATGTCGTGTGCTCCGAGTGACGGCAGCCTGAGCTATCGCGTGCGTGTGTGTGTGGGCGTGAAGAAGTGTTTCGCTGCCGGTGCTGAGGCTCAGTGTGAGAATTATAATTTCAGTGGCTTTGATGTGCGCACGCATGGCAGGAATGGTGAGCTGGGTGCTGTGTGCCATGTGGCCAATGCGGTGCACACATGTAGCAACTGTGCTGCCAACCGCGCAACGGAAGAGGAAGGGGTCACCGTTGCCTTTACGATGAATGTGACGACACATAAATACGCCGGCCCTTATGAATTGTGGTGGCGTCAATTTCCTCCCGATGGAACCATCCACCCGCCTGCACGGAGCAGCGATGCTGACCGGACGGGCATCTGTCGGTTGCCGCCACCCCGTGAAGGGAGGGATGACACAAATTCTGGCGAGACAACTGCACCGCAATTCAGTGCTGAGCCGTCACGTCAGAAAGAGGATCGGCGACAGTCTGCGGCGGCTGACGGACCCAACACCGTTGATCGGAGTCCCGCATCCAACACGGCGACCAACACGTCCGAGACGAGGCCTGAGTTTTCCACCAATCCGAGCGAAGTGATGGTCCCGAATGCGTCCAAGAAGGCGCCTTCCTTTGCCAACGGTCCGAGAATATTAGTGGTGTTGAATGCATCCGGGATCATGTCTGTCACTTGTGGCGGCAGGGAGCACGTTGCTGCGGATAACACGGACGAGGTGAGTGAGCCCGACGCCACTGGACACAAATCTCTCGTTTTAGAAAATGGCGTTGCGGTCAGTGGATTTGTTGGTGAGGGTGATGCGGGCGGATTGAGTCAACGCAATGCCTTTGGACACGAAAACCCCAATTACGAGAATTCACCGCGCAGTATTCCGGGAGCGGTGTGAGTCTACACGACTGCTTTGCCCTGCACAACGACGCGAAATTGACACTGCGAGAGTTAACAGTTGACGGCACCGTGCGTGTGTGCGTGTATTGTGTGTTGCTGCTTCTTCTGGGATTGTGTGGAGTTGTGGTGGTCCTCTGAGCCGAAGAGTGTGGAATTGCGACTCCTCACGGAGAACTTGTGCCGCGTTCCCTGCGTGTGTTACTTTTTTATTTACATTTTACTGTTAGTTTTATTTTTGTGTTTTCCTGGAATGATAAAGATCTTTTTTGTTCCTTTACTTAATGGTCAGTTGCTGCGCACCGTCATGAGCGAATTGTTTTCCCTCTTGATTGCTTCTGTTGCCTACACGCGGTACAGGCCCCACGGCTGTGCGCTCCACGGACGACACAAAAGGAGGAATGGAGAGACAGGCCGGATGCCGCATGAAATGTGTGGGATGTTGTGTGGGCTTGTGGAACAGTAATAATTTTTTCCTTGTGCAGGTACTGTACGCATGTACATATAAACACAGTCCTGCATTGCTGCATGGCGTACGAAATGATGATTCTGCCGAAGTGTATTTTTTTTTGGAGGAGGAGACTCCTGTTGGACACCCAACTACTCTTTTTGTTTTGGTATCGCTTTTTTACTTCTGGGTGTGCAGTCGGTGTGCGTTCCTCTGCAAGGCTGCTGCCGTTGTTTACGGTGCGTATTACTGTGTGACTTTTCTTTCCTTTTCCTTTTGCTTTCCTTCTCTGGTGACGGG